AAAGTCAAATTCGCAACGCAAAATAAACGTTGCGATAGTCAAATTCGCAAACCGAAAATCACGTTGCGAATTTGACTATCGCAACGCTTTTTTCGCGTTGCGAATTTGTACCTCCAACAGGTCTTTTTTACCTTCAAACATAATCCAGATTGAATTTTTTAGAAACAACAAATCAACTTTTACAAATCAATTAAACAAGCAAAAAAATAATTCTTATTTACAAATCAAATTAAACAAATCAACTTTTACAAATCAATTAATCAAAAAATAAATCTTATTTCCTCATCAATTGTAACAAATCAACTTTCAATGTAAAATTCAATTAAACAAAGAAAAAAGTGTACCCCAGACTGTTGTTTATGCACGAATACATTTCACGCAGCTCACTTCAGGATTAACCTACAGAAACTAAACATTTGCTCAAACAACACTTTCTACACATCTAAAACCAACAAACAACAAATTACTGAATTCTAGGTACTTAACCAAATATTTTCAAACCAATTAAAGAGTATATATCTTAACAACACTTGCTCAAACTTACCAATTGTTTATGTACAACTTTCAGCATGCGGATGCAGGTAGGCAGCGTCTCGAATATATCGATCTGGCCATATAATGCCAAAACCACAAGCCTACTGCATCTCTATCTCTATCTGTGGGAGGTAGATATTGTATACTTCATGTCGTCAAATGTTCCAAGCACAAGCATACGAGAGGACCACAATCCCCCCTGGCTCCCTGCGTTTGTTTTGGCGCAGTCTCGTCTCTGATCATTATAATTTTGAACTGTTTGGCTTCTTGTTTCCAGATTTTGTCCAATAATCAATCGCATTCAAGAATTTAGCCAAATGATCGCTCCATCTCTTTGTAATAATATCTCTCAAATCAGACAATGGTATGTAATTCAAAATGCTGTCATATACCACTGTCTTCAGGGATGGGAGCTGAAGCTCGACGAGAAGCCAATGATGCTTTTCCAAAACAGGGATAAACACCTGCAATAATAAATAATTGGGCACATCAAATAAAATTTATGAAAACATTTAAAATATTCAAAAATAAATACTAACCTTATCGACCTCCCACCACGCAGGATAAAGTTTAGCTTTTCCATTAGCCAACTTATATGAAGCATCTCTCTGATCCTTCAAGTGAGCTGCGTGAAAAGACGTCGGCATAATAATCCATCGAATACCTCTTTTCTTCAATTTCCTTATTATTAGAAGACGTGACACCTATGCATCAATATGTTGTTTTATAAAAAATAAATATATTAGTGAATTTATTAATAATTTTAAAAAAAAAATTAATCAAAATGCAATATAAGAAGAATATAATACTTATCCCCCTTCGAGGTAGCCATTATCTTCAACCCCTAATAAAATACCCCACCAAGACTGATCAAAAAACAAATCAATAGCATCGTCGATTTGGCATAGGTCAGAATAACACCCCTTGCTCCGCTCAAGTAGATAAAAATCAACTGCGGTCTTAGCCCAAATGGTATTATCCGTAATTATGTTCGGTAGTGTTTCCATCTCCTACTGAGGAATGGTACTGGCCGGTAACTCATACGAAAGCCAATACGCATCCATCATATCAGGCACGAGAGGTGGTTTATCAATATGTCGACATATGACGCCAAATGAATCGGGCTCTTGAACGACGGGCAGGACCACTTAAACGATGACAGTGGCCTCTTGAACGGTGGGAGGGGCTTATTCGATGATGATAGGGGCCTCTTGAACGATAGGAGGTGCCTCTTGAATGATGATAGGTGTATCGGGCTTATTCTTACGGAGTCTTGGCACTAGTGGGTTGAACGGAGACGTAATGACACGTGTACGACGTCTGATGCGTGATCCCCGTGGTGCAAGAAAAACCCGATGTAAAGCATCTATCTTAACGGGCTGCTAAAAATAAATTAATATATAAATCAGTAAATAAATAAATAAATAATGTCGAAAAAAAGTTATTTGCATTTTTAGTATAGTATTAACCAAATTTACCTCATTGCGTAGAGTATTAACATAATTCTGCAACAATGAAACAATCTCGCGTAGAGCGGCAACCTCATCACGTAAGGTAGATACCTCACCACGTAGCGCACCATTGTCATCGCGTAAAAAATCCACCTCACCACGTAAAGATCGAACCTCATCACGCCATGCACCATTATCTTCACGTAAAGTACCGATCTCATGATGCAAAGCACTGACCTCATCACGTAATTCCCCTAACTCATCCCGTGGAGGTGGAGAACAGGGAGATGGAGATAGACGGAGCATCTTTGTCGGTCGCCTATCATGAGGTGATGGTGGAGAAGAGGCTCGATGATGTGATGGAATAGGTGATGGTAGAGGTGGAGAAGAGGCTCGACCAGGTGATGGCTCCGGGTGTCGAGCTATAGAATCGGCCGGATGGGGTGATGGCTCTCGAAGTGGGGGGTGTTCATCATCCGTCCCATCAAAAAATCGCTTACTAGCTTGCCACCAATCAGTGGCAAGCTCAGCATCTGAGGGTGTCAGCCTCTGTAATGGGTAGTTGGCCTCCTAACAATATAAAAGCTCAAACAAAATTAAACGTGTACTAGTAATAACTTGTTTATATATGGTAGTATTTGTGTGTTAATTTGCATAATTAATCGTCGTATATGGGAGTAAGTCTTCCCAATCCAACACGCGTTTCCTCTTCCAGGTAATAGCCCTAGGAATATCATTTGATCTTTTTATCGCATATGTCCGTATGCTGGGGAAAGCCTCAAATATATAAATCTACAAACAATATAATACACAAATATTAGTAATTGTTAAATAATTAATTATAATTTTGGAAACATTATATAGAAATTCTTACCTTAAAAGCCCAAGTAAAGCCTGTCAAAGTGTATTTAGAACCATCGCCCCGCAAACTTTTTCGGTCCTCGAAGGCAGACAACAACTTCTTCCAGGTAGCTTTCCATATATATGAACCCCACGGAAACAGGTTCCATGCATTTAGGTCATCTACCAATAATATTAGGTCATCGGAGATTGGTTGTCTGCCTTATTTGCCTAAAAAGACGGCATGCAAAAGTAGTAAATGGCATACTCGGACAACATCAAGGTTATCCATCCGAGTAAAACCATCTTTATCAAATAATCTCTTCAAGTCGTCGATATGTATACTCGGCTTCGACTTTGCAAGCTCAGGAAAAACCCGATATAACCATGATGGGCGGGCGATATGACTAGTGTACCGACCTATATCATCGTGTCCGAAGCGTAGACCGATGATTAAGCAAAACTCCTCCCGCCCAAAACAAGTATACGCCGGTGCCGGAGGAAAATGAAACCATATCTCTTCATCACCACGTTGTACCCCATCGGGTAGATCGTTAGTCATGGTCTGAAGAAACAAATGTGTCAACATAGCATCTCCACTCGGATATTGTACTTTCAGCCATGACCCGAAGCAAGTATCCTCAAACAAATTTCTTTGTAGAGGTGTAAGCATCGACGCAAATTTAGTTGTTATGCTTAATTTATTCCTTAAGGTCAATTGAGCCGAAAAAAATTTCTACAAAAACAATAAACATACGAAGTTAGATATACTAAAAACTACAAATTATACACTACAAACAGACATTATATTAAACAACGAAAATAAAGCCAAATATGTTTCAAACTAGCACGGTATTCACCCAAGTCTTTATTCCATCATAGTTCACAAAATGCATCAGATAACATTCAAGAAGTAAGCACTTATATAAACATTTAAAAGGACAACATATAGGTTTAGTGCAGGTTCAATGACAACATAAAGAGTAGTAGTTTATTCTTGAAACTTAAATTAGCAACACTGTGAAGTTAGTATTTGTCTTTGTTTTTTGGTTGAAGTAATACAATTCATTCAAGTTTCAATTTGGCGAATAAAAGAAGTTTTTGAAACTTAAATTCGCAACGCGATTTTAGTTTCGTGTTTCGCGTTACGATTTTTATTTTCGCGTTGTGAATTTGGTGTTGCGATTTAGGGTTTCTTCAACAAAAAGATAAAACAAAGACAAATACTAACTTCACAGGGTTAAAGACTAAACAGTGTAGCAGTATTGGCAGCAACCGAATGAATTTAGCAATCTTAGTGAAATGATTAATCTAATAATAATACAAAAAATTCAAAATAAAAATAAGAGATTAAAAAAACTAACCCTCGGTGGTTGATTTTATATTTCTGACCGTGAATGGTTGTGAGGGTTGATCTGAGAGATAGAGATAGACGGATTTCGTCGGAGATGGGGACGGATGTCGTCGTAGAGAGTGAGAGATGGAGATGGGACTGAGTTGTGCTTTAGGGTTTTAGGTTAGAGATGATTTGCGATAATACTGTTTACATTTGTGTTGCAAAATTAATATTATGTTTCGCGTAAAAACATTTGACTTTCGTGTTGCGAATTTGACTATCGCGTTGCGAATTTGGAATATCGCAACGCGAATTTGGAAAATCGAAATGCGATTTACATATTCGCGTTGCGAAATTGAAAACTGGGTTGCGAATTTGAGATCGCGTTGCGAATTTGTTGGTCATTTTAACAAATAAAAAAAATTAATGAAATTCATATATTATAATATATTTTTTATCACAGAGGTTATTTTCTTATTATAAAAATCTGAGCTGACATTTTAAATAATCGAATTATAAAAATATATAAAATTTGAAAAGCACTAAGAGGATCTAAACCAAAGACTTGCCGGAAACGCAGTAAATGCTAATTGCATAATAATTTTTTCTCTCTAATTTTTGTGAAGTAAATGCAGAAACAAATAGTTTCGTTTACAGTTAAGAACCCAAATCTGAATCTGGGCAAGAAAAAACATACCTGTAAGAGAAAAGATCAGACCCAATACTGTTAAAAAAATCAACTAAAGACAAACCTACAAACAATAATTAAACCCAGAAAGTCTTCACCTTTACTGTTTTACATCACTTATATCACTTTCCCTTCTTAAATACACTTTCCTGGCGTCCAAACATAATCCTCTTCTTCCATTTCCCGTCTTTCGAGCGAAGTAGTTAAATAGAAACTACATTATCAAAGAAAATGGTGAAGCCCCAAAGGCCCCCATCTGGCCGTACAAATCTAGCTTCGTGTATTGTGGCAACAATTTTCTTGATCTTTCTTGTAATAATAGTTCTCATCGTTTACTTCACCGTTTTTAAACCCAAAGATCCCAAGATCTCCGTCAACTCCGTCCAGCTGCCTTCCTTCTCCGTATCTAATAACTCCGTCAGCTTCACTTTCTCCCAATACATCTCCGTTAAAAACCCTAACCGAGCCGCTTTATCTCACTACGACAGCTCTATCCAGCTACTTTACTCGGGTTCTCAAGTCGGATTCATGTTCATACCCGCGGGGAAGATCGAGGCGGGTCGGGCCCAGTACATGGCCGCAACTTTCGCCGTTCAGTCTTTTCCCTTGGCTGCGGCGAATGAGGCGTCGGCCGCAACGATGCCTACAACTACGACGGAGCCCATTGGCTGGCTTGGCGGGAGTAACAATGGGTACCGAGTTGGACCCACGATGGAGATTGAGTCTCGGATGGAGATGGCGGGTCGGACTCGGGTTCTGAACTTCTTCACCCATCACGTGGATGCTAAATCTGAGTGCAGAGTGACCATTGCAGTGAGTGATGGTTCTGTCTTAGGTTTTCACTGCTAATTGTTAATTTCATCGTTCATGTAACATAAGAAGGGACTCATGAGCCATTTTCTTTAATATTTTTCAGTTTCGTGAGGATTTGAAGATTTGGGTATCAATTTTGGTATACCCGATTTGTTGTAAGAAATGTAAAAATGGTGTTTCTCTTATTGCAGTGTTAGAGAATCAAAGCATTTTGCTTAAAATTTACCAAATTATTCAGTGCTGAGAGAATTGGGTGGCAGAGTTTGGGATGATCGATCGACCGGAGAATGAATTGGCCTGGATTTTGGTAAAGTGCTGTTGATTTTATCATAAATAATTAATTGCGTGAAAGTGGTACACAGTGAGAGGAGATTAAGGAAATTATTTATAAAAATGTGCGCCCACATTAATACCTCATGAGGTTAAACCCCCTCCCGTCTCCTCTCCTGATAAATACTCTCCCTCTTCTTCATTAAAACACACACCAGACACAAATATCCAAACTCTCTCAAACCTCAAACATGCTCAAATTCTCACAAAATTCAAATTCTATTAAAAAGATAAAATATTTTATTATCTTATAATAAACTAATAGTATATTATCTTTTTTATTAATTTTTACAGTTATAAAATGGAAGCTTGTTTGCTACGTTTAGATGAACATCATATCTCGAGATATTTTGTTATTACGGTAATAATTTTAAATTTTATTTTAATTTTAATTATTGTTAATATTTAATTTATTTGATTTGTTTAGTCGTATGATCATCTGTGCTTTTTATGACGTGGTGTCAGTTCGGACGAAACCCTATAAAGACGCTGATGATGATCTGCGCCTTGTTAGAAATAGTGCTAGATCGATAAAATCAGGTGAAAATATATATGATAAGTCATTATTTTCTGTCAGGATAATATTTCGGTAAAATCGCCTCCAAATACAGCAGGCATTTCAAACCTTCATCCATTATTCTCAAAATTCAAGTATGTCTTAAAAGTGGGAAATGATCACATATAACAGTTTTAATATACAACTAAAAAAGGTATTATCGGTTTTGTTATTATTTAAATAATAAAATCAGTAAAAAATTATCTGAAACATTATTATTTATACTGGTTTTATTATTTTTTTCTATCAATTTTGTTATTGTTTGATACTTTACCGAAAATTTTATGTTTTAGGTAGAAATAATAATATTTTAGATAATTTTTATCTATTTTTTATTATTTAAATAATAAAATTAATAACACTTTTTTAATTGTATAATAAAAATATCACACTGTAGAATTTTCCCATAAAAGCATATCCTTTAAAAAAAAGAGTCTTGTCTAAAAAGCCTGAGATATATATATATATATAAAGGTAAAATACTGTTATTATTTTATAATAAATTAATTATTTAACCGTTAACGATTGTTATTATAATCACATAAATATAATGTGGCGCGTTGACAATTGAGTTAGTATCATTTATCATATTAACATCCTTTAAACAGTTACTTATCACATTTTTATTATTGCATATTCATCGACAATCTAATATAAGATTAATTTAAGATAATTTCAATCTAAAATGTTATCATGTTCAATTTATGCACCTGTTCAGTCATAATTATAGAATTATTTTTTGTTAAAATCATTTTAATCCGAAAAAATGAACCCAGAAAACCAGAAATAAAACCATGTGGGGGCGAGTTTTTAAAGGCTTTGGCTTCGGCTTACACCTTGCTGTGATTATAAATAAAAATATGTTATAACAATCAGAACGATTAATGATAAACGAATGTAATTAACTAAGAAAATGGAACGACATTACAATTTATGTGGAAAATCCAACGAAAAAACCACGGATAGAATCATAGGTGATGTTTGGTTGGCATGAATCCGTTGGAATTAGGGGGAATCAGAATCTAATTCTACCACTTTCTCATGTTTGGTTCAAGTTTTTCAAGGGAATTAAAATCCCTCATGGCTTCAACTTTCCATCAAATGAGGGAAAGTGAATTCCATCCAAGAATGAATGTAATTCAATTCCCTTGTTGGAGAGAATTGAAATTTGACCATACTACCCTCATCAATCTTTTGGTAACTTATTCATATATATTGAATAAAAATATTTTTTTTATTATTTCGGGTCGGGTCGGTTTTTTTAAGTGTGATATTCGGGTCGGGTCGAGTTCGGGATTAGGGTGAAAAATACCCGACCCGAAAAAATATATAATTTTACCTTATATATTTAGGAATAATTACAATAATACCCCTCTATATATATTTTTCAATTAAGTCATTGTTTTTATTGAATAAAAATAATTTTTTTATTATTTCGGGTCGGGTAAAACTTTATTTTGGTCGGGTCGGGTCTCGGATGGAGGTTACCTTGTACTCGGGTCGGGTCGGGTCGGGTGGACCAAAAACCCGACCCAACCCGACCCATGACCATCCCTAATTGGGATGATTTTAACTTATGATGTTTATTAGCATGATTTTTATAATTTATTGAAATGAATAATCAATCAATAAAATTAAAATTTAATTTTTTTAAAAATTTTATAATATATTGCTCCATGTAATTTATAAAACAAACTAAAATTAAGCAAAAAAACAAGAAGGGCAATCCTGTCATTTTATATTACTGAAATCAAATTCATCTGACATGTCTGCTGACCAAACAGAATATGGAATTGAATTTCAATTCAATTTCCTGCCAACCAAACAGAATATGGAATTAGATTCCAATTCCTGACAGATTTCAATTCCTTCACATATTCTAATTCCCTCATAAATATTCCAGCGAACCAAACGCCACCATAGAGGAGAAGAAAATTTCACTATGAAAAAATACAATATACAAAATACTTGTTACATCAAAATCCTAATTCCTACATTCTATTTATAAATTTTCGTCTGTCCTACAATCCTATACTTTTATCACTACTTTGATTGTAACTTTATTAACTGATTTAGAAAAAAATTAGATCATAACTCTAAAACATATACCCATCAACCTAAAGTTTTCGCTTTGAATCTCCTCTCGTATTAATGAATTATATAAAGATAAAAAATGATAAAAATAAATATACCAAAAGAGAGTTAATGAAGTATGAAGGAATTGGTGATAATTTCTTTTCCAAGTGTAGTAAAGAGGGATATGAAGTAAAAGACAAATCAAATTTTATCATTATAATATTGATAGATTATTTACAAATATTATTATTATAATTAACATTCCAAAATAACAATAAAAGATTAAATATCAATTGTAATTGATATTATTTGTATCTAGATTTTCTTACAGCTATTTAGTATCATTCTTTTATGATACTAAATAATATTTTTTTTAATTTTACATAATATTCAATATTATTATAAAATAATTTTTTTTAATTTTACATAATATTCAAAACAATATTAATAAAAATATATAATTTTACATAATATTATTTTACATAATATTTCAATGTCCGGATTTTATATAAAATAATTTTTTTTTAATTTTACATAATATTCAAAGCAATATTAATATATATGTAACATTTTTTTTAAGTTTACAATATTAAAAGGTATAAAAATATCACAAGTCATAACATATATAAATTAAAAACCATAAAATCAAGTGAAACAAAATGATTCAAATCAACTATAGCATAATATTTAAGTAAAACATATTAAATAATAAATATAATTATATAACTATAATAAAAAAAATTGAGGCTTAAAAAATCATAACAAATGATGTCATTTAGTTTAATTTTTAAAAAAAAATAATCTCACGTGACTAAGAAACATAGAAGAACATCACAAAAGTTTAAAGAGTAAAAATATGTGAACAAAACAATCTCACATAGTTAAGAAACATATAAGAGCATCCCAACTTACTTCTATAAATAATAGAGGTAATTTGACATTCAAAATCATGGAGCCTTTTGGTGAGCATAGAGTGAACTATTTTTTCGCTTCATTTGAGCTCAAATTTTAGGCTTCAGTCGAAATTCTAATTTTTTTTTTGAGTTCGAGCCTTTTCGAGTTCAAGTTTTAATATTATATTTCGAGTTCAAGTTGAACTTGATAATTTTTAGCTTGTGACTTTTTGAGTCGAGTCTTGACCGAGTTGATCTCGAATAGGTCGCAATCTGTCTCGTCTCATTTATAGCCCTAACCATAAGGGTTGATGAGGAAAGGACTGGGGTTTGTGGTAATCCGACTGCTATGAGATTATTTGAGGATTTCATCTCAAGGTGGGAGCTCGTAGATGTGCCATTATCGGGGAGAGTTTTTACGTGGTTTAGGGGAGGTGAAAATATGGCAGCGCGTAGGTTGGATAGAATTTTAATCTCGTCGGAGATTGCTTGTCAGTTTCCCCAACTTATGCAAATCACATTACCAAGAAGCATATCCGATCATAAGCCAGTAATTCTAAAAGAGGTGACATTAAAAACGCGCTACAGACCTTTCAAGTGGTTCAGTCACTGGGTAGAGGATGCTGAACTTTTCGGACTGGTCAAAAATTTATGTGAAAACAACCAGGGCAATGGTGTTGATCATGTACTGAGGATGGTTAAGTCTGTGACCAAGGAATGGGCGAAAGCAATTCAGGAGGAGGACCATGAATCTGTTCAAAAAATTGAAGAGAAGATAGATTCATTGGAAAATTTTTGTTTATCCAATGGGAATAATGGGGTAGTCCAATCTGAAATTTATGCGTTGAAGGCTAAATTGTGGGCGTCTTTGAGGCGGGAAGAACCGGAGTGGCTTCAAAAATCAAGATTAAGGTGGTTCAAAGACGGCGACAAAAATACCAATTTTTTTCATTTAACAGCTGCAACTGGAGGAAGAATGAACCAAAATTTCAGAACTCAAGGTAGAGAACTCGGTATTAAAGAAACAGAAAGACATTCAACGAGCCTTTGTCAATTTCTTCCGAAAAAGCTACAATGATGTGAAGATCGTACCTGTCAAGAAGTTTGACGTTACCCTAAAGAGACTAAGTACAGCGTAAAAAAGATTCATCGAAGGCCCTTTTACTGAGAGCGAAATTTGGCTTGCCATTAAGACGTCGGACAGATCGAGAGCGCCTCGGCCGGACGGTTTTAATTTGGACTTCTTTAAGAAGTTATGGGCGTTTGTTAAAGGAGACATAATGAAGTTCCTGGATGATTTCCACAACGGAAGGGTTGCTGATTTTTCGTTTAATCAATCATTTATCACTCTTATTCTGAAGAAGATTGGTGCCGAGCATCTTGAGGGTTTTAGACCGATCTCTCTTGTGGGAAGTCTGTACAAGATACTGACTCGTGTCCTTTCAAGAAGGATGGCTAACTGTCTCAATGAAGTCTTTGGCGAAAATCAGTTCGCCTTTATTTCCGGAAAGCAGATTGTAGATTGTGTTTTAATTGCGAACAAAGTTATTGATGATTTGCAAAGGAATAAAAAGGAAGCAATTGTGTTCGAGGCGGATTTTAGCAAAGCATACGATACTGTGGACTGACACGTTCTGAATCTGATTCTAAGGAAAATGGGATTTGGAAGCAGATGGAGGAAATGAATTAGCATGTGCACTTCGTCTCTTTCAATTGCAGTGCTGGTTAACGGTTGTCCATCGAATACTTTTTCCATTAAGAGGGGGCTAAGGCAAGGCTGTCCACTTTCACCGCTATTGTTTAATATCGTGGGGAGGCTTTAAGTGGGTTGCTGAAGAAAGAGGTTGAGGTTGGCATTTTTAATGGTGTCGGCGTGGGATCTGGAAGTATTGCTATGTCTCATATTCTATTCGCAAACGATTTGCTTATTTTTTCCGAAGCTAATCTTGTGATGATAAAAAATCTGAAAAGGATTCTCAAAGTTTTCGAAGTGGCCGCTGGGTTGAAGCTCAACGTAAAGAAGACTAAGCTTTTTGGTGTTAACGTGGAAGAAAATAGAATTATAAGATGGGCTGATGCGATTCACTGTGGATGGGACGTTTTCCCTATGACATACCTGGGACTCCCTCTTGGCCATAAACGGAATTCCATGGCATTATGGTAATCTATCGTGGATAAAGTTAAATCTAGGTTAGAAGGCTGGAAAGGAAAACTCCTATCCTTCGGGGTAGAATTACTTTGATTAGATCAGTACTGGTTAATTTATTGATTTATTATTTCTCTTACAAACTAAATAAGTGTATTGCAAATTTCGTCTGGGGTGCTAAGTCGAACAGAGTTAATCATTGGATTAAATGGGAAAATATTTGCAGGCCAATGGCACACGGGGGTTTGGGTATTGTTGATGTCAAAATTAGGAATCGTTTGTTGTTAAATAAATGGATATGGCGGTATGGTGAGGAAGATGGCAGCTTACGGAAAAAGGTAGTGGCTGCTAAATATGGCTACGATCCAAATTCTCTTTTACCAAAAGAAGTCAATGTTCGAAACTCCTCTTGGATTTAGCGCAATATTATTGCTCCGTTGTCCTCAAATGGTGATGCACCAGCTTCAAAGTTTAGGCGTGTGATGGGAAATGGTGGCAAAATCGAGTTTTGGGTTGACCATTGGACGAAAGTGATCGTTTTAAAAGATTCCTTTCCTAGAATTTAATGGGATTGCTATAAAAAAATCAGGTAAAGTCGGTGAATTCACAAGTTGGAATAATGGATTTTGGGAATGAAAGATTGAGACTCGGAGAGTTCTATTCAATTGGGAGGGGGCTTTGTGGAATGATTTCCTTCAGGTGCTTAATAGGGCTGTTTGTGTTGTCCCAGGGGTGGATAAATTAGAATGGCTTGGATCTTCCAATGGGGTTTATGTACCTAAAAGCTACTGTTTGCAGGAAATTAGTGCTGGTTCGGTGGATGATCCCATTTGAAAATTGGTGTGGTCAAAGTTTGCTCCACCCAAAGTTGTTGCCTTTGTTTGGAAGGCTGTACATCAAAGATTGCCGGTTATTCAAGAGCTTGCAAAGCGTAGAGTTCCATGTGGAGATAATTCCCTTTGTGTCATGTGTAAAAGGGAACTGGAATCGATAAACCATACCTTGTGTCATTGTGATGTTGTTTGGAATGTTTGGCAGCATTGGTGTAGAGTGTGGAAGCTTAATACTGTCTTTCCTGAGAATGAAAAATCGTTACTTGAGGTGTGGTGTAGTCAAAAGGTGAGCTGGAAGCTTCGTTCTCTATGGAATTTGGGGTTCTTTGGTCTCATCTGGAACTGTTGGATTTGTAGAAAACTAGAAATAATGCTCTGTTTAATAAACATTCGATGAGGGTGGAATTTTTTTTTGATCTAGCTTTGTTTAAGATGGGGTCTGGCTAACAGTATTTGGCCGGCACTATCTGTTCAAAGATTTTGTTAGGTGCCCGGAATCTGTTATTTTTGGTGTGAGCTGATCGTGGTGTTATTGTTGCGAGCAGGGGTGTTAAGTAGAGTGTGTGCTGGTGGCCCTCCCGTGTGCTTTTGGTTATGGTTTTGTTTTCTGATCTTTTTAGTCTGCTCCTTTGGTTGTTATGTTCCTTTGTGTTTGTTTATCTAATATGGGCAGCTGGTGAATTATTCCTTACTATGTTTTTTCATGAGTGCTGTTTTTTGGGGCGAGTTGTGGTAGGTGCTGTTCTGTCCTGCAGAATCTTGTTGCTGCAGATTGGTTGTTTTTCATGAGTATTGTTGTTCTGCTGTCCTTCCTCATTTATCTGGTGCTGTAGTTGGTTGTTTGGTATAAGACAGATGTTCTCGGCGGTTCTGTTTTGTTGCTACTGATTGGTTCCTTCGTTGGTATGTTTTGAGTTTTTGCCCCTTCCTCGGTCAGTATTGAGCCGGGCTGCTGGGGGAGTTTTTACTTCCGTGTGTTCGATCCAGGACGGGTGTAGTTGGTTGGGAGCTGCTGGTTTTTTTGTGGTGGGAGCTGGAGCTTTTTGTTCCTCGGGCTGTTTATGTTTTGTGATTGGTTGTGGTTGACTCTGTTGAGTGTATGTGCCTTTTCTTCCATGTGTATTCACCTGCGATTGATCGAACCTATTTCACTTCAAGGTGCACTCTTTTTCCTCCATTTAGGACTAGAGAGGTTTTTTAATGAGGCCCTTGGAGTGGTGTATTTGTATCCTTCTTAGTTAATACAAAGTGCATCCTTTTCAAAAAAAAAAAAAAATACAAAGCAAACCCTCTTACAGTAATACCGAGTCTGATTCTGCTTATAAATGAGATGAAACAATGAACAATGGCGCTTTCACCACTCTCTACTTGGACCAAGCAACCATGTCGATTTCTGCTTGTGCACTCCTGTATAATTCTAGCCTCTCGGCCAGAGCGCTACGTCGCTCCATGATTGCCGAATCTTCGTTCAACAATGCCGATAATCGGTTTTGCTAGCCAAAAGAAAGGGATCTCCAGGTATAAGAATTCACATTGTTTATCTGTAATACCAAAGACTAAATGGTTTATATATGGCGGTGCAGTCCATGAATACCAGTAGACTACAATTGGTTTAAGGCTTTTCTGCAACTTACCTACTGCTACCTTGGTAAGACCAGGAAGGTCAACCAGAGTCAAATTGACAACTGAAACAAAGAAGAAGAAGAGCTTGTTAATTCACAAACAATCGAATAATGTAGATAATAATTATAAATTGATTATACCATTGGGAGAATATATAGTAAGATGAATGGGAACACTGGAGATTTGTTTGGTTTGACCAGTTTTTGTATCCGTTTCATCTTGGATCTCCTTCCTAACCGCAGCTATAACACAAAAACATGCAAATCTTAGGTGCTGCTGATTAGTGATAAACGTGAAACTCAAGGGGCAAACAGATTACCAAAATCAGTGAATTTTTTTCTTTCTAGGTGAAGAAACTCAGCGTATTCTCTGCTTCCTTCTTCACTCTTATGAAGCTGTAACACCAAAGGTCGCCGAGTAACAATCCCTGCATTCATTTTTAATCCAAAAAAAAAATTTACTTCTCGGAAAGAAAGATTGAAAAGTGCAATTGATTCATTGTTTTACCTGATCCACGCGGTAAAAAATCCTTGCCGACAATGCTTTCCAGCACCGATGACTTCCCTGAACTATGTTGAAAATCGAAATTCAGTTTAGAACAAATGAATGACGAAGGAAAAAAAAAGAGAGTACCGACCTGACCGCCAACGACGACGATTGAAGGTAAAGAGTCCCAAAGAGTAGGCAATGCGCTTGCTTCTCCATGGTCACCAAGAGCCGTGCAAGCTCTTTCAATCTTGTTGACAAGGGAAATCAAATTGTCCATTTCTATTGAAATTCAGATGAACTGGATTTGTTTTTGAAATGGAAGGAGCTTGCCGTGGCTTTAAAGTTTGAAGTGAAGGTGAGTTGAGAGAATAGGACAATGAGAGGGAAAAATGCAGGTCGGAGAGTTAGTTTTATGAATAAAGCGGGGTTTTGTTTTTCCCTCTAATTTTCATGTTCGTCCGACCTGCATTTTTCAAAGTTTACAGATGACAGCACAAAAAATCTGAATATCCGAATATCCGAAAAAAATATCCGAAACCGGTTTTGGGAAAAACCGGTTTTTTTTAACCGGATTGGATTTTTTTAAACCGGTTATTTTAACCGGTTTGGAGAAAAAAACCTAGACCGGTTTTTTTACCGGATAAAAAACCGGTTTGAAAAAAACCGGTTAAAAAACCAGTTTTTATCCGAAAAAAAAAACCGGTCTGGGTTTAAAAAACTAGCCGTTAATATAGCCGTTTGTGGCCGTTTTTGACCGTTTTTTCTTTAAAAAATTACCATTTTACCACCCTAAACATGTATAAATAGGTTGGGGATGTATTTGGTTGATTACAACTTTCTCAAATCTTATTACACAACACTTAAACATCTCTCAAATCTTAGTTTTGTAATTTTTTATTCATCATGAGTAACACTGCTGAATCTTCCGTCGGGGGAAACCTTGAAGTCGTGAGAGTGATCGAACACACTCGAAACAAAGATATTTGGGATCACTACGATTTATGTGAGATGTCAAATGGCTCGAGGAGGGCGCGTTGTAAACTTTGTCTAAAGTTTCTTGCATCGGAAGGAAACACAACGTTGAAGAACCATTTGACAAAATCATGCAAGGCACTTCGCTCAAGATCGGATCCTAGTCAATCGAATCTTACACCGCAAGGTGGTGTTTTTGTTTACGACAACGAAAAATTACGAGAAGCGTTTACAAAGTTCGTGATTACAAAAGCATTGCCGTTCGACCACTTTGATGATGAAGATTTCACGACAACAATTCAACAACTAATGCAACCACGTTATACTCAAGTAAGTCGTACTACCCTTAGAAGAGATGCTATAAAAATGTGGCGTACGGCGAGGGAAAAAATGATTTTAGGATTCCAAGAACACCGTTATGGTGTGTCGCTTACATGTGACGTTTGGAGTTCCCCTCATAATACCGGAAATTCTTTTTTAGCCGTTACGTCACATTGGTTAGATCAAGATAATTGGCAAATGATGAAAAGAACAATCGCGTTTGAATTATTCGGTGAGCCGCATACCGGTGCTAATTTATTTACACTTTTAAAACGGGTAATTTGTCTTTATAAATTAGAAAATAAAGTTTTTTCTATATCTTTTGATAATGCATCGAATAATACAAACGCGATTCCAAGATTAAAAATATTACTTTCACCGATTTTAGACGGTGCGTTTTTTCATACCCGTTGCGTTGCACACATAATTAATTTATCCGTGCAAGCCGGTTTGGAGGTTATTGAGCCAATTAGATTAGAATTTAAAACAATGATAAAATCGATTCTTTGTAACAACAACAAAAGACTAAATGATTATAAACGATTTTGTAAGTCTGTTAATAAAAAAACTTTGGGTCCTAATTTGGATTGTCCAACTCGTTGGAACTCAACTTGGATGATGATGCATACTGCCTTAAGGCAAAGGGAAACATTGCAAACATTTCACGATCGGCTTTTCGAGAGGGGTCATGTCCCAGACATTTATCCGGATTCGAGTTGGGAAACTATAGCCAAAATAACCGATTTACTTGAGGTTTTTAAAAATGCAACAACTTTTTTATCCGGTGTTTATTACCCTACTAGCCCGTTGGTTCTTAATCAAATATTTTTGTTGGCTACCCGACTAAATGACTTTGAATTTGAAACCGAAGTTTTTCAAGAAATTGGCTTTGCAATGAAGGAAAAACTTTTAAAATATTTTAAGGAGATTCCCCCCATTTTTACTTGTGCCGCCGCTTTAAACCCAACGTTAAATGTTGGTGGGGTTGAAACACTAATTGAACAAATTGCGTTTGCTTTTAATCTAACGGATGATGAACCCAACTTTGTCCAAAACCAAATAAATTATTTTAACAAATGTTTTCGAGACATGTTTGCAATTTATTTAAATAAATACGGATTAAGTAGTGTAATACACGATCAAATGAGAATGAATGCGGAATCATCTAGTAGATGTCCAAGTAACATAAATTTGAATCTTTTTAACACTCTTGTAAATTCCCAATCCAAACGATCACGTACTACCACCCCAAGTAGCGAGTTGGGAAATTATATGTCATGCGATTTTCTATCAAAAATGACATTTGAAGAGTTTGAAAGTTTGGATATTTTGGCTTGGTGGAAAGAAAAGGAAGTACAATTTCCGATTCTAGCCGCCATGGCCCGTGATTTACTAACCGTCCAAGCTTCTACGGTAGCTTCGGAATCCGCTTTTTCTGTTAGTGGCAGGGTTATATCGCAACGGAGATCAAGACTAAGTCCCGAGTCGGTGGAAGTATGCATTTGTTTAAAGGATTATTTGGATGGAGCGGCTCGTAAGCAACATATCACCACCCTAGAAGATGCAATTGATGCCGATTTGGAAGCAAACTTACACATTGAAGAAGTCGAACTTGGAATATCCCCTCCAAACGAAGAAGGCGAAGATGATGAAGAAGAGATGGCAATGTAGTTTATTTTATAACTTTATTTCAATTATCGTAAACTTTGTTTCAATTATCGAACTTGAAGTTTTTAAGTATTTGAATTTATCGAACTTGGAAGTTTTTAAGTATTTGAATTTATCAAACTTGGAAGTATTTAAGTATTTCAATTATGTTGAGTTAATTAAGTATTTCAATTAAGTATTTGAATTTATCGAACTTGAGGTTTGATGCTTTCTCTTTGATTCTCTCTTGATTCTAGTTGCTTGATGTTTCTTGTCTTTGATCAATGACTTCTAAGCTTGCTTAAATACACCTTGAATCACTTCTGAACGTTAGTGATAATTAATGAAGATAATATAGCCGTTTAAGTGTGAAAACATTTAATAAAAATGCTTAGAGCGTGGGGGAATCGGTACCCTCTCATAGGGAATCGGTTCCCTAAGTGTAAAATTCAAATATTTCGACCGTTGAATAGGGGGGAATCGGTACCCCTATGGGGGAATCGGTTCCCTCCGAGCATTCTGGAAATCTCGGAGCCAAACCATTCAGTGAGGAATCGGTACCCCCTTGGGGGGAATCGGTTCCCTATGAGCAATCTGGAATATTAAAATCGGTTTTTTTATAACCGGTTTTTTAAAAAAACCGGTTTTTTTAAAACCGAAACCGGTTACACCGGTTAGGATATCCGGCCCTCCAAACCGGTTAGAAACCGAACCAGTTAGAAACCGAACCAGTTATTTTATAAACCGGTTTTTTTTCTATGGGAAAAAACCGGATCGGATAAAAACCGATCCGGATCGGATTGAAATCCGAATTATGTGCAACCCTAATGGCAGCGTTTGCCTATTCATCAATTTCTGCTCCTTTCTGTTTTTGATGGAGGGCTTTTTCCACCCAAACAAACAAAAACTAACAATTGCAATTTTAACATTTTAATTCCAAATATTCCTTTGCTTGGTGTTACAAACCAAAAGGACCATTTTTATTAAAAACAAAATAGGGTTGTGAAAAGAAACGGATCAAATCGAACTTACACTCATGTTTGGATTCATAATTTTAAAAATCGTAATCATCTAAATCGTAGTAATCCAATATGACCGATGTCCTTGCATGCGCATTTGTCGTTGTCACCGAAATACTTTATCAGTTCATATCATTGCATACAATTTGCTGCAAAAATATTACGAGTGCCAAAATGAATTCCATGAGTTCATTCATTACATGAGAAAAATGTAATTTAACATATAAACAGTAACTTGTGAACCAAGTTACCCAGCAAGTTGTTGGAGTAGCTCTTGGTAATGACACATACTGATGTTTTGTTGCCACCATCCTTCCTAAATCTGATCCAGTATTAGATTGCAATATGGTTCAAAGGGTACTCGGATCGTTGTCAGACATTGAATCTCCAATGTTGATTCCTCAACTTTTTTGGGAGAAAGTATATGATGATCCACCAGATTGATGCTGAACAATGTAAAGTGAGTGCTGCTTGAGTCAAATATTTACTGGCCCGAGATCTAGATCTGTTCGGTTGGTATGGATTGGGAACTAAGTAGTCTCTCTGCCTCGTCATTCGCTTCGGCTTGGAGTTTCCATTTCTGTAAAAAACAGGTAAGAAGACATATTAAAAGTCGAATGGCATGCCGGAAAACATAGCAGAAGGGGAAGAGTAAAAGGAACATTGTGTTGAGAGATAGGAACATGCCTCTTCAAGATTCTCAATCTCCATGATTTGTTGTATCTGCTCAGTAATCGTTTCCTAGAAAAATTCACTTAATTACATTAATACATAAGCTTGCCAAATGCAGAGAAGATATATAGAGACGGCTACTCACTGCACTGCTTGCTGCTTCAGCAGCTAGAACATCAGAGTCCATTTCTCCCTCAATTTCAATCATTGAAGAGATCTGGTGGATGAAAATATCACATGTATTAATCTGATACAGTCCATACAGAATAAACATAAATGAAGAGTAGTCAAGGTTTCGATAATAGAAAGACTTACTTTTGCATAACTATCAATGAGTTCAATCCTTCCCCTGAGCGAATTCTCCAAACCTTCTCGCACCCTTTTGATTCTACTTCTTCGGGCACTGAAAATAGGAAACGAAGGAAACATTGTTCCACCATTCTGAAATAACGCATAAAATCTTTGAGCCATGAGAAGAGACAATGACGGCTGATGGAAAAGATGTTTATCTTAAGATTAGAAGGCACAACATTTATTAAGACCACAGTAATTAAGTGTTTCACCGATAAGAAGGTTCTCCTACAGCAAAAATTTTGTTCTCCAGTTGACACATGCGAGCCAGCATCCACACCTACACCATGAAATG